AGCCGCCCACCACACCCCCCCCGCCTACTACTACAACCGAGGGGCCAACCACGCCCCCATCAACTACAACCCCAACGACCACGCCTACTACTACAACCGAGGGGCCAACCACAACCACACAGTCTACGACCACAACAACCACGCCTACTACTACAACCGAGGGGCCAACCACAACCACACAGCCTACAACCACACCGACCACAACTACTACTACAACCCTACTACAACCGAGGGGCCAACCACAACCACAACCACACAGTCTACAACCCCAACGACCACGCCTACTACTACAACCGAGGGGCCAACCACAACCACACAGCCTACGACCCCAACGACCACACCTACTACAACCAAAGAGCCAACCACAACTACACAGTCTACAACCCCACCGACCGCGACTACCACTACAACTGAGGGGCCAACCACAACCACGCCTACACCGACAACCATACCATCTGTGCCCACCTGCCCTGAATGGGGTGTATCTGTAAGAATTTTTTAATCTAATTTATTTAAATAATATCATATTTTATGTTCTACTGAGAGTATATTTAGTAACACTGCACATTACCACTTTAGAGAAAAAAATTCTTTCCTAATTTTATCAATTTTTTTTCTCATTACACTAGCAAAATGAGACCTTCTTATTGTGCAACTGCACCATGGCCAGGTGCATTGAAAACAACACAATTGAAATAATTCCATATGAATGTCCACCTATTGAGAACATCACTTGTGCCAATGGAAATCAACCAGTTCTTGTGTTTGATGAGTACCATTGCTGCCAACATTATGTTTGTGACTGTAAGTGGTCAAAATGATACATGAGTTTATTAGTTAGTTTGTTTGTTTTGACTCATATGTCACTATTTTAAAATAACTTTTATAATTTATACTTTGTTTCTTTTCAGGTGTATGTGAAGGCTGGGGAGATCCTCATTACATCACATTTGATGGATTGTACTACACTTATCAAGGAAACTGTACTTATGTTTTGATGGAAGAGATTTTCCCAAAATACAGTTTGAAGATTTATATCGACAATGTCTTCTGTGATCCTGTTGAACGTGTGTCTTGTCCACGGTCAATAATTGTATCATATGGTTCGCATGTTCTCACACTCATAAATCATAATGTTATTGGAGCACCTAAATTGGAGGTAAAAGAATATATGGTCAAAATGAAAGTTTTACTTTACATTCTGATTTAAGTAGATTAATATTGTCAGTGTACATGGAATAGCAATGATGGATCTTTTCAGCATAATATATCATACTTTTTCTTGTCATTGTGGGTTTTTCCTCCCATAGGCACTAAAAGATGGAAAACCAGAACAACTGCCTTATTCAGACCAAGGTGTTAAGATCTTGAATTCTGGCATTAACTTGGTTTTAGAGATCCTTCGTCTCAGAGTGGTCATTAGATTTGGAATAACTGGCTTTAGCGTTACCCTTCCATTTGAAAACTTTGGCAGTAACACACAAGGCCACTGTGGTAAGAGCATCATCCTCTCCAGTGGTCATATTGGCAAATTATTATTTTGAAGTTAGACTATAATATTACTGCAACTGTTTTTGTCTCTACTATCAGGAACATGCAATAATAACCAAGCTGATGACTGCATGTTGCCTGAAGGCCAGCTGGTGGAAAGTTGTGCAGTTATGGCTGACTATTGGCCCGCAAAACACATTCACCAACCCGACTGCAAGATACCATCTGAACCACCCACCGAAATACCTGAACCTCGCCCAACCTTAACTCCATGCAAGCCAGACTCTATATGTGACCTGCTTAAAAGCAGGTGACATTCTCTAATCCGCTGTAGTTGTTCAGATTCAATCATATAACTTTGACATATTGCAGTTAAAAACAACACCTTTTTTCTTTGTTTATGTTTGTTTTACTTTCACAGTGTCTTTGAAGAGTGCCATCCTTTTGTTGCCCCTGACAATTTCTACCGAGGATGTGTTTTTGATAGCTGCCATGTTTCCAACCCAACAGTGGAGTGCACAAGCTTGCAGACATATGCTGCTGCCTGTGCTCAGGCTGGGGTTTGCCTTCACTGGAGGAACCACACCACATTGTGCGGTAAGCAACCCATTTTTATTGCTACCATACATTTCATTATTTAGTGTGTAGGTAGTATGTATTTTAAAAAGAACCAATTGAGTTCTTTTCTTCACTAACAGCAAGTAACTGCCCATCAAACAAAGTCTATAAGCCATGTGGTCCTGCACAACCACCAACCTGTCAAGACAAGTAAGTTTCAATGAAAAAGGGGAGTATTCCTTTTACTGTTCATATGTGCATATAAGCCTTTCTTGAATCTAGCATCATAATGGGACATGACAATCAGAATTTTTTGTTAACAACATAGTAGCAGTAAGTACAGTAGAATACAGTGTTAACTGCAATATAACTCTGTTTTAGACATCTGAAAAAATATTGTAAACCACTGTATCTCTTTCTTATTGATGATATACAGTCCAAATGAACCAACCATGAATGTCAATACTGAGGGCTGCTTTTGTCCTGATGGAATGAAACTCTTCAACACAGAGTCTGACATATGTGTTAAAAAGTGTGGTAAGTGTGAGGTGCTGTATATCTTCAAGTCTTATTGAGCTGAATACATTGTATCAGCCATGACTCATTGCACATTCTCCAACAGGATGTCTTGATCCTGAGGGCATTCCTCGTGAGGTAAGTCTTATATTCATGCAAAAATTCTGCTGTTATTGTTCACTTGCAAGAGTCATTTTAGTCACTATTGCGCTTTATACTTTCAGTTTAATGAGAGGTTTGAATACAAATGCCAAAGCTGCATCTGTGAGGAGTCCACCAAGACTGTCACATGCAAGCCTAAGGTGTGCCCAGCACCACCTATAGTAGACTGCACAGACCCAGGGTTTGTCACTGTCAACCAAACGAATCCATCAGACCGCTGCTGTTCTGTCTATGTTTGCCGTAAGACATGTAGCATCACTTAACATACATTGATAATTTTTCTAGAGGATGCCTCTTAACTGTTTACTCTCACTGTTTTATCATCTCCACAGAATGTCAAAGCAACACTTGCCCAGTCAACAATATGAACTGTCCGGTTGGATATATGCCTGTTGTCAGTGTCCCTGAGGGAAAATGCTGCCCAGAACATACATGTGGTGAGTTGATTAATTCATAATATAAATTTATATAAAGCCTGATGACTGCGGGGACATGTGTACATAATTTCCTTTGTCTTACTCCTTTCTAGACCCTAAGAGAGTTTGTGTCCACAAAAGTGTTGAATATGAGGTAAATAAGAGTTGAAAATGTGAAGATTTCTCTTATTATTTGTTAATAAATCACTTTGTCTTTTAATGATTTCTGTTGCACCTAAATTCTGTCTAGCTAAAACTGGAGTACTGTATGAACTTATTCCCTCTTTATTTACTAGCCTGGTTCCACAGTTCCTGCGACTGCATGCCAAGACTGTATCTGTACCAATGTGGTGGACCCTAATTCTGGTTTATTGAAAATAACTTGTGAGTTTCAGCAATGCCAAGAAAAGTGTGAGATGGTAAGAGAAATAACACATATTATACTGATGTAAACAAACACATACATTGTAAGTTTTCTTCCTCAGTGTATATACTATGAGGGCAAACTTGCCAAATTAACTCCATTCTTTCTCTCAGGGATTTGAATATGTGGAAGGTCATTCAGGCGAATGCTGTGGAAAGTGTGTACAGACAGAGTGTGTCCTCAGTGTTAATGGTACCACGAAACTCATGAAGGTAGGTGGGATTATCTCTGTTGGATGTGACTCCAAAATGTATGTTTCAGGTACCTCAGTGTTTTCATATCTCTGTGTGTTTCTGCTTGTGTGAATGTGTGTGTACATCCATCTCACTGTTCTCCAGCAAGGAGAAACCTGGTCACCACCTGGGAATAAGTGTGAGTATCACACTTGTGTTAAGACCGGTGAGGATTTAACATTGGTCACTTCACGCATTGTTTGCCCACCATTCCACCAGGACAACTGTCAACCTGTAAGTATCACTTTCAGAAAATGAGTCTGGACTAAATGTGTCTGTAAGAACATAAATTAAAACACATCTTGCTGATGCTATTTCCTCCTTAGGATACAATTCAGACTGCAGCAAATGGCTGCTGTAAAACTTGTGAGTATGACATTTTGTTCATTTTTTTGGGTAGAAGGCGCTTAAATTAAAAGAAGCTAACTGTGTGTCTTTTCGGATAAGGTGTGGAGAAGGAGAAGGGCTGCAAGTTAATGTCCATGAAAACCTTCATTTTGCACAATGGCTGTCAGTCCTACCAGGAAGTAGCTATGCCATATTGTGAAGGATCCTGCAACACTTTCACCAAGTAAATATGATATTATTCATATTTCTCATTCCTGTGGAAAGATGCAGACCTGTTCAAATTTGGACATTTAAAAATGCTTAGCTTCATGTTTATGTAGATGTTTAGTTTATTAATTCATCTTGCTTCTACTGTCTTTAGGTACTCTGAAACAGCAGCTGCTATGCAGCATTCTTGCTCCTGCTGTAAGGAGACACGTTCCAGCAATCGCACAGTTGACTTACACTGCTTGAATGGGGACGTGGTGCCCTACGCATACATCCATGTGGAGGACTGTGGCTGTGGTAACACAGACTGCACCATAGCCCATCGACAGCCTACTCGCAAGAGGCGAAGCTTCTCACTGGTGTAATGAAAAAAAATCTGTCCTCACGTTAATGGCTGTGTGATGCAAATGTTCTTCTCATATTGTCCTAGCAATCATTACTTCTCTTACAAAGTAACTGTCATTGTAGAGAGAGTATTTATCAATTAATTAAATAAAAATATGCAACTCTGTCCATGTCTCCTCTCTTGCAGTTGAGTTGTCTTGTTTGTGCCAATCTGATATTTAAACAAGATAAGCTACAGTACAACTAATGTGCTCAAACTAAAGGAAAGCATGCTCTAGAACTGCACAAGAACTACACTGACTCAAACAATAGACAAGAAAAAGTAATTACTAAAGGTAGGAGCACAAATGACAGTTTTTCAGTGCAGACATTATTTCTAAATTTAAGCTGGCATTTTCTTCAGAGCCTGAAATACAAAACTGGTCTAATCATATATATAAACATTCGGAGCTGCACTTGTTTTCTTGCTTGTTGTTACTTACACACTTGTAAGAAGGATGTAGTAGATAGGAGTGAGTAAAGGTAGAAAGTGAGACCAGGGGAGATGTGCTATAAAAATATGCTCCCATGAGAAAAATGGAGAGGGATGCACTATCCTCTTACACCAGTAATTTCAGCTAGCTCTCTCTGATGTGTTTGCTGCACCATACTACATAGATTGTTAGTGTAGATGTAGACAAACAACACATAATTCAGTCAGAGACACTTAAGTCAATTGACCTTTGACAGCAAATTACTTTGCTGTAAGATTTGGACCTACTTTCAAATGTTGCGTGTTATGTTTTCAAATACCAGACAATGTTTGTGATATTTTCTTTTCCTTTTTTTTACTTAAAAAATGACAAACTTATTCAGTTATCGAAACTTGCCAAATAATTTTCTGAGCATTTAATTGACTATTCATTGCAACTCTAATCTGCATTTGACATTAATAATTATCATACATAAAGTCCATAGGTAGAGCCCATGAACAATTTGGAGCACAATATTTGAGTCAGAAGTCCTTGCAACTAATAGAAGTATCTCCAGGCTGAAGTATAGCCTTCAGTCTTTATTTTGTTTTTCTCAAACAACATGCACTATAAAGGATAATGCCGTCTTAGCAACAGATTACTTCAGAAGATAATTGCTTCACCACAGCACTTCAAAGTGTCTACAGCTGTGAGGATGCCAAAATCAACATTAGGTGAGTTTGTCTGGATGACAAATGCGGCTTGAAGCCTTTTGGTCTAATAAAAGGTGCCAGTTTTTGTTGTGTTTTAGGAACATATGCTGAAGACTTATGCTAACATTATCAGCTAAAATGTCCCAAATCCAGTTTTTTTTATTTCTCCAGGTGGTTCAAATCTGCTCTTTCCATGGATGTGTGCCAGCCTGGTTTCCCTAGACAGATCTCTCAGTGCACATTGGATCCTGCTGGTCCCTGCTGGTCCTTGTGGTTGGCCTTCTCTCTGAGCCTCGGACCCTCAGGTTGCATTTTAGACTCCATTGCTCCCTTTAGGTCTTTCTGTCCTAAAACCGTGGTTTAATGACACTACTTGTGCCACTAGAAGGGCATGTAGGAAAGCCAAAAGGAAGTGGAAAAAGGATAAGCTCAACGTCTCTTTTGAAATTCTGTGAAATAGTTGGCATGACTATCAGTGGACTGTTAGAGCTGAAAAAGTCAAATTTCTTTCTCAAACTGCCAATTAAAACCATTGTGAGCCTTGTGCTCTGTTTAGTATTACTGATAATCTTATAAATCTTCCTCAAGCTTCTTTAGACATTACGATGGGCACTTAATGAAAACATCAAATTTTTTGTAGATAAGGTTCTAAAACCAGGTACTTCCTTGTCTGCGAACACGCTCCCTTTCCATCCCAACCCTGCTTTGTTTTCTCAGTAGGAACCAGTGTCTCTTCCTTCCTTGAAGGACATTATTACTCAACTCAAAACCTCCAACTGTCCTACTGAAACTGTTTCTTGTTACTTGCTTAAAGGCCGTGACTCTCATTAAGACAAGTGGTATCGATAATGAATGGCTGGATGGATGATTGGGGCTTAACTCTAGCTTCTTTAAATTGCCACTCCTGTCTGGAATTGATTTCAATTCAGTTCAATTCAATTTTATTTGTACAGCGCCAAATCACAACAAATGTTATCTCAGGACACTTTACAAGGTCTAGACCTTACTATTATTATTATTATTATTATTATTATTATTATTATTATTGTGGAAAAACCCAACAAACACTCCTTGAGCAAGCACCTGGTGACAGTGGGGAGGAAAAACTCCCTTTAATGGAAGAAACCTCGGACAGACACCAGCCTTCTGCCTCGACCGGTTGGGGTGAGCGGATAGAGGAGAGAGAAAAGAAAAGAAAAACAATAAAACATGCATGAATGTCAATTTTACATTATTAATATATCTCAATTAAATAATGTCAAATTGTTACACCTTAACAAACACTAGCTATGAATGTTTGGTACCAACCCAGCAGAAAGAAATGAGACCAACAATAATGATGTTTAAAAAGAACACTTAATATAGCTGGCCTCTCCTCCTGTTTAGTTTCTTTACTTTCATAAAGGTTTGAAATGCTGTTTGCTGAAGTCTGTTTACTCTTTATTTCATCTGGAATTCTTGGAAGCAAACACGGAATCTAAAGTTATTTTACGTGTTCTCAAATAAGCTAGTGAGGTGGGAGCTCCTCCAAGGACAAACATAGCTTTGTCTCAAAAGTGGACAAGTGTTACATATCTCCATGACACTGTGCAATGTGTTGATTCAAGCAGGGCAGCTGATTTACCACACTACCCCAAGACAGTTATCTATATTGACATAATGCTATTTAACTTGTCATGATCATTTCTTGACATTGTTTCATTTGCCATCATTTCTTGACATCATTTCATAAGCAAACTGTGAGGAGTGTCACAGAGGCCGTTTACACAAAGCAGTGTGTGTGATCACTGAATAGGCTTTAATGAACAGGTGAGAGATACATGAAAGGGAAAGCCGACATGAAGCGTCTTAGTAAGATGCTGAGCCTTGCCGTTGATTCTGCAAGTGTCTGAATTCTACTGGAAGGATGAAGACCATTCTTCCAAAAACAGTTTTGTCATGTTTGAAGTTTTCATAAAGACCCTCTTCACACACATACACAGTTGTGGCTTACTGTAGTTGTGAGGACACTCATTGACACAAGGCATTCCCTAGCTAGCCTCTTACCCTACTCTGAACCATCACAACTAAATCCCTGCCCCTGAGCTAAACCTAATTCTAACAAAGTCTTAAACTTCAAAAAGCTTTTAAAAGTTGTGCCGACCCCCTAAAAAGCCCTAACAATGCCAAAATGTCCTCACAACAATGGCATCAAGCTAAAACTGGTCCACACTATGTGAAAAAACAGGGGTGCTTCTCCTGCACTAAAATACAACTGGGTGGTCTGCCTTTAAAAAATATCTCGTGTTTACAGTTGGTCCATATTATGTAATAAAGACATGTACACACACACAAGGACAACACTTCCAGTTAGCCTGGTATTATTTGGTTCAAACAAAACTGTACTGTGTTAACAGTTGAGTCACAGCTAGCCTTTTATTTGCTAAGCCAAAACAACACTTCACACACTGTCACAACACAGAAACCAGCAGTGTCTAGTTTGATTTGCTTTGTGGGAAGATTTTGTTCTTAGTTATGCTACCACCAGTACATGATGTTACCTGTAGTACTTGCTGTACCAAATACGCAACAGTTACCTGGAGATATAAGATGGTATGGTTTATGCTTGCCAGAAAAGTCTATTGTTTAAGTTTTATATCTAAATACAATTGTGAATTTAGCTTATAAATGGGCTTATGTTTAATATACATTTCCGGGCCATATCCATCAAAAATCCTGTGGTCTGGCTGTAACGTTAACACATTTCAAGATGATGTTCCAGATGTAGCATCTCAAAATTACCCTTTTACTGTCATCTCTCAAATTTGCCTTCCAAGGATGCACCACAGTTCTAGGATCAGTACAGAATTAGACCAAACAGATTGTTTTGTTTAGTTTATAGAATACATTTAGAAACAATTCTTTAACACTGAATTATTTATACCAAATTGCCATCATTACTGGCCAAATTTGTGTATCTTAGCAGAAGAATCAGAATCTGCTTTATTGGCCAGGTGTGTCGGACACACCAGGAATTTGACTCTGGCACATCGGCTCTCAATGTGTAGCAGTAGAGCTACCCTCACTGGTGGTAAGAAGCAATGTTCTCACCCAGCCATAATACATAGCGTGGCACTCCCTGGTCAAAATCTTAATAAAACTGCAAAGACCACAGAAACAATCATAATCCTATGACTGTTCAAAATAGGTCAGTTATAAACGTCATAAGTAGAGCTTGTATAGGACAAATTTGTTATTGAACTGTATTTAAAAGTGTGACCCTCCGAAACACAAACAGACCAGAATCAGCACAGAATGTCACTCTGTTTTAAACAGTGATGCGTTCACTTACTGAGGTACATACTAATGGAATTGAATGGTGAAGTTTAGGACAAATGTATATAGTGAGTCAGATCAGCAAAAAGTACATGATTTTTGTTTAAATATGCATACAGTAAATACTAATCTTTTTCAACAAGCAGGATATGAATACAATGTATACCATAAAAGTGTACAGTGCAATGTGTCACCAGCTGAAACTGTATGAAAGCTGATTTAAAATATTATTCTTACTTATAGGGTATACAGTCTACCAATGTTTACCAAATACCAAAACCAAAACAGAGCTATGGAGACGGAGAGTGATTGATAGAATGTATAATAACAAAAGATAGATGAAGACAGAATGTTGTTATAAGAAGCTTCTTCAAGGGTGTGATTGGAAACAAAAACCACAAGGGCTGACTATCAGGATGCATATTTTGCCCCTCCTAAACTGCAAACACCCAGAGAGCTATATAATTTGACACTGGTTGTTTGGTACCAGTTGGCTCTCAGGACAGTAAACCACTCAAGGATCATGAGATTGGCCAGGATGTTGCTTGAATGGGTGATACCATGGCTCACCCTCTGCCTTGGGCTGACTACAGCCAGCTTTGGTAGGTATAGTCAGTGGGTCACAGAGAACTGCATGCATCAAAAACTGTGCTAACCAAGGTTATTAATATTTGTGCAATGTCTATGCAAGTTAAAATACTTCATCCTGAGAAGAAAGTGTAATAAAATTTATGTGTTTTACAATTTGAAGTACAGCATAATAAATCCACTTTTTTTCTCAAACTAGACATGTCTTCTACCGACAAGTTATGCAGTACATGGGGAAAGCACAAATACAAGAATTTTGACGGAGATTACTTCCAGGTGGTCAGCAGTTGTAACCTTCTCCTTGTGTCCGACTGTAAGAGCAGCTATGAGAGTTTCAATGTTCAGCTCCAGCGTCAGAATATAAATGGAGTTGTCAGCTTTAAGAAAATCACTCTGAAACTGGAGGGGACCTTTGTGGAAATATCTGACACTTCCTTAAAAGTCAATGATAAGCTGTGAGTCTGTTTTGCTAATGTGAGCTTTCATTACTAGCTAATATACTGATTACAACAAGTGTTAATATATTACCATATTACTATGCTGATTTTTTGTCCCCTCTAGGGTCACTGCACCCTATAGCCAGACTGGCATTTCCATCACACAATTTGTCTCACATCTCAAAATTGAGGCAAAGCTGGGTTTGGTAGCGACGCTGAATCAAGACTCTTTCTGGGTATGTTTATTAATGTTCACTGTGTTGTGCTATGCCCTGACTATGCTTTAGCAAAGTATAATTGATAATTGATATTGATTTTTAGTTTTATATTTTTATAGCATTGGCAGATCCATTGAGTTCTGAACTGTACAATTGTATGCAATTCAGTGCAGCACTTCCACCTTAACATTTGTGTTTATGAAGCTCAAAATGTTTCAGTTTTTGGTGAAACTGTTAGAAATGTATAAATTCAACTATATGTTTATTATTGAGGTCATTGTTAAAGGTGGTGTTTAGTGGACTACATTATATAGAGAGGTGTCTCTATATTTTTGTCCTCTCCAGTTACATACATGAGAAGGTCAGAATATTAGGAACACCTTTCAATATAATGTAGTTTGAGCAATTAGTGCTGGGTATTGAACTTCAGTGCTTTTATGCCATTGACCAAATTACTTCATTACCATCGAGTACTGAAAAATGTTGAGGATCTAAGAATGCTTTTCTATTTTTTTTTATTTATTTATGATAACATTAACAGAACTTAAGGTTGTGGTAAAACTAATGATCTGTACTAAAACTGACTTCATACAGTTGGTATCAAAAAATGTATTGTTTAGGAACTGATATCGAGGTCAAAGTAATGGTATTGGTATCTAAGATTTTGGAGTGATACCCAGCCCTAAGAGTAATTAATCCATATTAACCTAAAGCCAATTCTGAGGGTTAGATGTCTTGTTCAGTATCACACATCAGTGAAACTGACAAACTGGGTTGATGAGACGCTATAACCAAATACTACCAAAAGTAGTAGTACCTGGAATGGTGTTAAAAAAATACTTTTTTCACATTGAAGGGAACAGTTTGCAACCACTGACTTGTAAAAAGTTCATTCTTGAAGTCACTAGTTGTCAAAGTAATTTCCACTCAAGGTCCACTTTTTACTGAATCTCATGGTCTTCGTCACTAGATGCTGTTTGATAAGTTGTTCTGTGGAAGTTCCGACTTTTCTTTCTCTTCAAAAATGGTTGAACACAACAAAAAAAGAATCATTTTGCTATGCACAAAAGGCGCCAGTCAACAGTTGCATAATAATAACTGTAGTTAAATTATTTCTTCATCATTCAAATTAAATTTTGTTTGCTTTTAAGGTGGAGCTTGATGCAAAATTTAGGAATCAGACCTGTGGCATGTGTGGTGACTTCAACGGAGTTCAGCTTCAATATGAGTCCACCGACTCAAGTAAATATTAAACTATAAAGCTTATACCAAACTGAATTGCAGAGAATCAGTCTTTACATTTTCCAAAACCTCTTTTTACTCTAGTTACAGGGGCTGCTCTAACTCCACAAGACTTAGCATTTATATGGAAAGTCAATGGTCCTACTGAACAATGTGACGATATCACCTCTCCTCCTCTACTTGATGACAGCTGTTTTGGCTCGGTATGTGAAAATGTATTTTCTTCAAATAATATTACATTAAGTATTTTAGTACAGTTTAAATGGATCATATGTTTTTACCCATAGACGACAAACGCTTGTTACGAGCTGCTGGAACTTCCCGCATTGAACGGCTGTCAAAACCTGATTGACCGTGACGCCTTCTTCAGAGTATGTGGGCAGAACTATTGCACTATCAGCAATGATACATCAACCTTGTGTTCAGATGTCTCAGAGTACTCCCGTCAGTGCGCTAATGCAGGCGGTCATCCGGGCCAGTGGAGGTACAAAGGCCTGTGTGGTAAGAATGGGGACAAGAAAATACTGCATGTTTAAACTCTGATGTTTTTGTTGTAGCTATTAATTAAAATCACAGTTTCTAAAATGTAGTTTTTTGTGTTGAATAGAACTTACATGCCCATTAAACATGGAGTATAACGAATGTGGTAGTCCCTGTATTGCCACTTGTACTAACCCCCAGCAAGGCCCAACATGTGGAGGTACCTGTGTGAATGGATGCTACTGTCCATCTGGTAAGTTCCATGATTTTAAAAGCTGTACAGATGACATTTGTAGGAAGAACTGCAGATGTGTTTTTTTCCCCATTCACAGAGATGAGTAATTCATGCTCTCAAACTTGATTCTGAGGTTAGCAGGCTACCATTTGGTGTTCATTTGCTACAATTAGACTTCACTTTAATGTCTTTAGCTTCAGTAATGTGATGAAAAGGAATAAGAATATGATTTTAGTCAGATCACTTAAAAGGGTTGACCTATGTGAATTCAGTGCAATACAGAGCTGTAGGTAGTTACCAACCTTCTCGCTAGATTTAGACTTTTAAGAGACTTTTAATGACTTGTTATTTTAACTGCCCAGCAAAAAAAAATCTAGGACCATTTTTGCCAGACACTACTCCTCTCCCTTGAAGATTGTCGCAAATCACCCACCCAGTGCACTAACACAACCAATGTGCCCTCATGTGGCCCTTCACAACCTTCCTACTATGATTTACGGATGATATACATTTTGCTGTATTTAATATGGTGAAGTTATCATGTTCTTTACATCTTTCACATAACATTCTGTGATACTACATTGGACCTAACTTTAGGTGCACATTTACAGCTGTGTAAATGAATCCATTTCACAATAAATAGTGAAACACTGCCATGTAAAGGACAAAGAAATCTAAATGACTTGCTTGTATTAATGCAGTTTTCTTTGGATTTTGGACAATGATACATGGATATACTCATAATTTTACCCATTAAACAGTGTTGTTTAATGATAATATTTGTGACAACTTTTAAACAGATGTGAAACTGTCCAAAATATTACCTAGATTTTGTTAAGTCATGTCAAATTAGTTATTGAGAGCACAATTATGCAATTCAAAAACAATTTCATGTTGGTCGTGTTATGTTTCTCCCAAGGGACTCTCTTGGATGATATTACAAACACTGGGTGTGTTGCTGTGGACAAGTGTCCTTGCTTACACAATGGAAACTCATACAACCCAGGGGCTACATACTCAGATACATGTCAACAATGGTAATTTTTTTAAAATATAATTTTTATATTCACAAAATACATATTTTGGTTTGTCCAGTTGATCTAACAAAACTTGGTTGACAGCACCTGTGCTGGTGGTCAGTGGAGCTGTGTAAAGAAGGACTGTCCAGGTACCTGCTCCATGCTGGGTGGCTCCCAGATCTTCACCTATGATGGTAAAGGTTATAATTTCCATGGAGAGTGCTCTTATGTTCTCTCAAAGGTGAATCATTTACTATTAAATTAATTAATCCAATAATTATTATAATTACTTTTAAACAAGAAAACAGTTTGTAACAAAGTGTATTTTATCTGTTTGACTTTAGTCCATTAATGGGACTTTCTCAGTCATTGGAGAGATGGCTAAATGTCAAAGTACAGAAACATCGACTTGCCTGACTGGAGTCATTCTGCAGCTGTCTCAACAAACGGTAAAATTGCAGTATATTATTTTTTACACCCAAAACATGGCAACATGATCATGTTTGTTTGTCTTTTTTCTGATGACATTCTGATGACATCTTTTGACATTTTTTCTCCCTGCAGATAATTGCAGTTACAGAAAAGGGACTGGTCACTTATAACCAACAGCCCACTACACTGCCTTTTGCCAGAGGTGACTTGTTCTTTTTAGAATTTATTCTCCTGTGAAATCATGACAGTTTACTTAAAGTAATACAGTGTCTATATTCAATGTTAAATGTCTTTTTCTCTGCAGATGACGTAAAAGTTATCAACCCTACATCATTCTACATTGCAATCCAGGCCTCCTGTGGGGTTACTCTCGAGATTCAGCTCATACCTGTTATGCAGGTCTACATCAAAGCTGATGTTTTCCATAAGGGAAATCTCAACGGTGTGTTTTCATCTCTGAGCACTTTTGATCAGAGTACACAATATCAACCTTTTGCAGTAAACACTTTATTAACTATTAAGTCAATCTTTAACTTTATTCAGGCCTTTGTGGAAACTTTAATGATATTGGAGCTGATGACTTCACAACCCAATGTGGACTGACTGAAGGAACAGCTCTGACATTTGTGAACACATGGGTGGCCCAACCAAACTGCCCCTCTGCTATAGCCATATTTGGAGACCCATGCACTGCAAGCATAGACAGGCGTAGGTACCAGCCATTATGGTTCATGTTTTAATATAATTTGTGACACTTTAACACTAAATGCATTTATTTAATTTTGTAGAGAAATATGCCAAGTACTGGTGCGCCTTGCTGTCAGACCCAAATGAAGCTTTTGCTGAGTGTCATTCTACAGTAAGCCCATACACCTATGAAACCGTAAGTAGCGACCTCTTTTTGTATGGAGTATAATTTATGTCTGTGTTTATGTGTTCACTGTTCATTTAGCTTGTTGCTGCTTTTCTTTGCAGTCTTGTGTTTATGCCACTTGCACTGGTGAAAACAGTGAGGACAGAATGTGTGCTGCGTTATCCGCCTATGTCCATGCATGTGCTAGTGCAGGTGTAGTTCTGACTGGGTGGAGGAACATCACATGCCGTAAGTTTAAGTGAAACTATGAAATGTGAAACAAGTTAAATCTGTGTTTAATCTGTATTTAATTAAATGAATTGTTTCCTTTCAACAGAGAAATACACTACCTGCTCTTCTAATTTAGTGTATGACTACCAGATGACAAGCTGTGGTCGCACCTGTCGCTCTCTCAGTCAGCCAGATTTAGCATGTAATATTAATTTTACCCCACTTGATGGCTGCGGCTGTGCTGAAGGAACTTACCAAAATGAGGAAGGAGAGTGTGTGTCAGCCTCACACTGCTCCTGTTATGTGGGAGACACAGTGGTGCACCCTGATCAGGTCATCAGAGTCTATGGACAAAGCTGGTGAGGATTTCAATTTTACCAGTTAATTTAAAGCAGAACTGTATTTTTGTTTTTTAAAACATTTTTGGGTGTTTTATTAGCCAGCTGTTTGTAGTAATATAACAGGATGTGAGTTGAGAGAGAGATGGGGATCACCATGTAACAAATGTCTACAGCAGGAGGTGAACTGGTAATCTTGAGGCTCAGCCTCTCAGTCAGAGCACCCCTAGTGGGTCACAGGCCCCTAAGTGAACTGCGGCTCCAGTTCATCACATTTTAAAGTGTAGTGTACAGTATAGCCTATCTGACAAAGGGCTCTGCAGAATTTTCCTGCCGGTGCCTTATTTGCAGTCATTATGCAGTTTTCCTTGGGCACATACCTACGTTTTGTTGCACATTGGTGTGTTTGGCCATGACTGAATGCACTTACAAGGCAGTGCAGTGCAATTTTGTTGCCCGTTTTGACTCAAAATAGTGATATTGATAACACCTCCTCAGACCACCTTTTATCGCTGTCACAGGTGTATTCGTAAATTTCCTGACAAGTGTTTAGGCTGAGAAGCACGAGATCAGGTACCCAAATTGTGTATCGTGAAGATTATTTCTTAATAAGGTAAATAAACTAGTCCTCAGTATATGGCTATAGATATATAGATATGAATATGGTCAAATGGTGTTGACACTTGTCAGCATGCACCATCTATAGCCTACTTACAGGATGCAACCAGAGGTCATCAGCAGTCGGTGTTTGGGAATCCAAATCCATGTTAGACATTACACAAACGAACACATGAAAGCAGCTCATGAGCCAAGATAAATAACAGGCACTCTGCAGATGTCTCCATTAATCCTGTTAATCAGCAGGTAAAGTCAGTTACCTCACTATGTTTGTTCTAATTGCTAAAACAATGTTTTCAATATTGCTTTTTAAGCGATAATTGCAAATTTTACAATTTTTTATTTCCTTTTGTTTTAAACCCATTTACTCTTTGTTTACTCATTTACTCTTTGGCTCGATGGTTCAGTGATATCGGCAGGGTCTGTGATCTGGGATCCACCACCCCAAAAACCCCTGTATTCTATAATTTGGAATCCCTGAATGGCCTGTCAAAGTGTAGCTAAATCTCCAGCTCCCCACCCCAACCAACCACACCAACCCCCCTCGCTCACTACTATTCTAGGCTGCTCATGCCTTAGCAAGAAATTGAGCAACAACTAACGAGAATAAACAAGAAAATGCATTTCTCTCATCTATCCTCCTTGCCTGTCTTTCTATACATTTTAGTGTCTGCCACAGTGGAAAATTAAGCTGCACAGGAAGCCCGATAAATGAATGTAAGTACAAAGCACTTAGATTGTCATAGTATTCCTTCTATAGCAAAGCACTGCATGAACAACACCAAGCATGCCAAGTGGTATCCTTTGTAACACATTATTATTGTCATCAGCATGTACCAATCCAATGGTCTTCTTCAACTGCTCCAGTGCAAAGCCAGGTGACAAAGGATCAGAGTGCCAAAAAACCTGCCAAACAGTGGATACAGACTGTGTAAGAATGTGACACTGGTTCATGACAGTTGTTCAATATTACTCACATGTAAAGAAAGCAGCAGGCTCATGTTATATACATTACTGTTACATTGTACAGGTCAGTACAAAGTGTATGTCAGGCTGCGTATGTCCTGATGGCCTGTTGTCCAATGGTAATGGAGGCTGTATTAAGAGGGAGGACTGTCCTTGCACATACAATGGAGAAACCTATAATAGTGGACAGAGTGTCACTGTGGACTGCAATAAATGGTGAGGCTTCTTATGATATTGTGCTGAGCCAGTTCACCTTTGTTGTGCCTTTGTTTATTTGAGATATATATACACTGAAAATATTGATATTATCTTTTTAAATCATAGCGCTTGTAAAAACGGAAGTTGGGACTGCACAAATGACAAATGTGATGGAACATGCCTCATATATGGAGAAGGGAATTACATCACCTTTGATCAGAGGAGATTCTCCTTTAATGGGCAGTGTGGCTATATTTTCGCTCAGGTATAACACATACTTCTTTTTAGTATTTGTGATTTGTCAAAATTCAGTCTGTAATACAAATATCAATATCTTGTAGGATTACTGTGGAGATGTGAATGGCACCTTCAGGATCCTGACTGAGAACATCCCATGTGGAACATCTGAAAGCATCTGCTCCACTGCTGTCAAGCTTTATTTAGGGGTACATAGCCTCAATATAGTCAGTTGAAATGTTGTTAATATATATTCCAAATAACTTTGCAGGATTGCAAACAAACATGTTTCGTTTCTTTCAGAACAATGAAATTGTCCTTTCAGAGGACACTGTCAGAGTCAACAAACTAAGCCAAGGGGTGGACATACCCTTTCATGTCAACACTATGGGTATATATTTTGTCATTGAGGCAAATAATGGTCTTGTTCTCATCTGGGATAGGACGAGAACAGTGATGATCAAACTTAGTCCTAAATTCCAGGTGGGTGAGCAAATATAGGGTGAGGTTAAATCTTACAGTGGTTACCATTTTACAAATTAACTCATCTCATTTCATTCCAGGGCACAGTCTGTGGTCTGTGTGGAAATTTTGATGGGAACAGCATAAATGATCTCACTACAAGGAGCAATGAAGTTGTGGTTGATCCCATAACTTTTGGAAACAGCTGGAAATTGTCACCTACCTGTCCTAATGTAGACGTACAAACAAATCCCTGTGTTTTGTACTCACAGAGGGAGGCATGGGCATTAAAACACTGTGGGATTATCACCAGTGATGTATTTGCTAGCTGCCATGCAAAGGTAAGAAAACTGCCAAAGACTCTCACATGGTATACTTGCATAAGCCTAGACAGAGTAATTGTAATTGGCTACCTGTCTACACAATGACATTATGTATAAGTTATCTTTCAGAATATAATTGAGCATGTGCTTGCATTTAAATTTCTGGTTTCTTTCAAAAAGGTGGATCCCCAAGATTATTACAAAAACTGTGTGAAAGACACATGTGCCTGCAATACAGGAGGAGATTGTGAATGTTTCTGCTCAAATGTAGCAGCCTATGCAGCAGCGTGCAGCCAGGCCGGCGCCTGCGTGAGATGGAGAACTCCTTCAATTTGCCGTGAGTGTTTTCTTTTGAGAGTTAATACACTGAACAGTCTACGGTCATATTCATCCTCTGTCACCATGAGCCATGTCATTTTAATTGTAATGTTTACTACTGAAGCCGACCTCTTATCTTATTATGAAGATTTCATAGATGATTAAGTTGTCTTGTTAATATTCTCTTTTTATTTTTCGTTTCATTAGCTCTAATGTGTGATTATTACAATCCTGATGGAGAGTGTGAATGGCACTATGCACCTTGTGGGAAACCATGTATGAAGACATGCAGGAATCCCTCAGGAATATGCTACAATAAAATTCCAGCATTAGAAGGTACATATGACATTAAAGAGTTAAAGGTTAAAGGCTATGATTATTCAAAGACATGTCATTGAGAAGGCATGCTTTTTTGTGTCCTACAGTTACTGTACACAGAATTGTGCTTTAGAAACACCTGTATTTTCGTATTATGTGTTACTGATGGTATTTTCGCCTTTACTGTCACCACTTTGAGTTGCTTACAAAGTGGCTAAACTTTTTGTTTGCACCTATTCTGTTCTAGTTTTGCAATTTACAATAACATTGAACTTTTTAAGGCTGCTATCCAAATTGCCCTGCTGAAAGGCCTTATTTGGAAGAAGTTAGCATGATGTGCGTGTCACAGAAGGAATGTGGCTGTTATAGTAATGGAGGCATGCATTACAAGGAAGGGGAGGCCATGCCCCCACTGGAAAACTGTCAAATTTGGTAAGACACTTTCCACATCTCTTCTCTACTCTACTCTACTCTACTCTGTCTATTAGCAGGATACAGTTAAGTGCTATGCAATGTTCCAAAAAGTGGCATGCAATTTGTCAAAAACAAAAATAATTGTTGAACAAACAAAGAGCAGGAGCCCAATTATAGTGCATTAACAGATGTAAAAAGCCCAGACACAATTTCAGAATATGCTCAGTCTCCACTACAGCCTTGAATCTGGGGCCAGCTCAGCAGGTATAGCACCTTTTGAGTGCCTGCTGTAGAAAGAACATGTTGGGAGTGGTTATACTGCACTGTGAAAATCAAAGAACCATGTGAAATTTCAGGAGTGGTGCTGTTTATGGGAGCTTATTCCTGCCTTTATTCAAGGGCATAATTTTTCAATGTGACAAAATTATTTTGTGATTATGTGTTCAGATTTTGTGATGCGTTCTCTCAGATCCCTGTCCTCTTGCTCAACACTGAACATCTTACATACTTTACTGCTTGCACAAATTCCATGTGCTTCTGCTTAAATTATTATCCTTGTATTCAGCCTGCTGCTGTAGGCTCAACAATCATCTGCTCTCACTCTAGGAATTTTGTGAAATAGCACTGTCAAAATTCTCCAACCAATAGAATGCCAGATGTGATCATGGTGACATTTTGGATGCCTTCACTTTACTTCTTACAGTGTCCTTTACAGGTGGTTAATATAAACCTGCTACCAGCATTAGGAGTTTCAATTCCCTTTAATTAGGTTCATCTACTCCCATTCTTCAGGTTTTTTTTTACATGTACTTTTATTATATGCAACTTTGTGTAGGTCTTTTTTTTTATATGGATAAGCAGTTTCCTACACATTAGTAAATGTGTACCTATTGCACAGTGGACATGTGACAGCATGCAAGAAATGGTCAAATTTGTGTCATTACGGGTACATGGGAGTTGGAAAGATTTTCACTATGACAATGCATCTTCAAAATATCTTACTTTCAGTTATGTGAACACTGCTGCCAGGCAGCTAAAAACAACAAAGGACACCATCCTATATTTACAAATGGAAAAAAATAGAGACCAGGGTTTACCCTAGGTTTTCAGAGGGATTAGGTACATTCTAGGTCAGGGTGTGGTGATGGTTGGGGAGGTTTTAATTTTTAGAAATTTTTTGTTTTTTTCTCTCGCTCTCTTTTCGACCATTACCCTTACAATATTTGTGAAAGAAAGTCGGCTACAATTATATTCAAAAGCCCATTCTTTTTTTTTTATTTTTGGTCAGAACATAGAATTCTCCCTGTTGTTTTTGGCTTACGTCAATTCTGATATGTGACCTAAAGGTCTATTTATGGTCATTCAGCTTAAGATACTCTGCAGAAACACTTACATTGTGTAGGTACTGCACATAAGCCCTTCTATGGTAGGGAAAACCCTGCAGACAACAAACTAATATATACTCACTAGCCACTTTGCTAGGTACAGTTGTAGACCTGTAGAACTGTATGCAGTTCAGTGCAACACTTTGGCCTTAACAGTGTTTATGAAGCTCAAAATGTTTCACTTTTGGGTGAAATTGTCATAAATGTATAAATTCAATTATATGTTTATTAATGAGGTCATAGTTAAATGTGGTGTTGTACTGGACTACATTATATTCAGAGGTGTTCCTAATATTCTGACCCTCTCAAAATATATGCATGAGCAGGAACTATTTCTGTGCAAGGACAGGGGGTTGAGATAAAGCATTACGAAATCTGAACATAAAATCAAGACATCGTGCTCTCACAATAAAAGATCATGCTCTTGAATAAAGATAGAAATAAACCTTCCATACTGTATATTATCATTTTGATGATAATCGCAAAAATAAGAAACTAATAATATTGTTGCAATAATCACAAAGATGCCAATAACAAGATGCAATAAATGTACATAAATTATGTTTATAGATATTCTTAAGATATTTTCAACTTCTTTCATTTACCTTTCAGTACTTGTTCATCGACACAGATGGTGTGCAGCTATGATGTTGAAGGTGAATAGAATAAACATTGTTATGTATATGACTCTTACCGGAGTTGTCTCAGTTGTCACTGACAAAGCTACCATAACATACAGATGACAAACCAGATTAAAAACTTGATTAAAAGTCAATAGTATAAATCTACTGAAACAATAAAGATTTGTTTCTGTGACCGTCAATGTCTTTCTTTTGCAGCATGTATATGTTCTTATCAAGGACACATGTACAACTATAGAAATATAGTCTATGAAACACATGATGGAAATGGAACCTGTATCACTGCTGTTTGTGGACCAAATGGAACAATTGTCAGAACGATGAGTCAATGCACAACCCCTGCCAAACCCACAACAATAATAACAACAACACCTTTCATTTTTTCTAGCACAACTGGTAAGATAAAATTTTAAAATATGTTTGGGAGATTTATTATCCATGGATTTTAAGCCTAGCAATGATGACTTAGTCTGCTTTTTTTTTAAATTACAGAACCCCACATATCAACTTACATGTCTGCAACTCCAAAAATTACAACTGAGGAAGTGACACAAATGCACACATTTTCCGGACCACCCAGCACGACTACAAGAGCAGCCACAACAACACCGACCACAACAGGCACAACCACTCGAGATGAAACTAGTTCTGTACCACCAACCAGTGCACCTACAACAGCGCCAGCCACAACAACAACGGCCACAACAGGCACAACCACTAGACATGAAACTAGTTCCGAACCATCACCCAGCAAGACTACAACAGCAGCCACAACAGCGCTAGCCACAACTGTCACAGAAGGACCCACCACAACATCCAGTAATTGCCATTCTTGTCAGTGGTCTGGTTGGTTGGACAAAAATTCCCCTGCCAGTACCCCTGATGGTGGAGATTATGAAAGCATTAATGACATTACGGATATAGATCTGAGTGATTGTATACAACCTCTTCAAATAGAATGTAGAGAGAAATCTGATCTAGATATACCTTTGGATCAATTAGGACAAAATGTGACATGTAACCCTACAGATGGACTGATCTGTCATAACAAAGATCAACAACCATTTCAGTGTTATAACTATCAAATACGAGTCTACTGTTGCAAAAACACTAATATTTGTTCGCCTCCAACTTCAACTATACTAGGGTCAACGGTCACAGGACCGACTGTTACCACACAACCACCCAGCAACACTACAACATCCGCCACAACAGCGCCAGCCACAACAGCGCCAGCCACAACAACAACAACGACCACAACAGGCACAACTGCTGGACACGAAATGAGCTCCGTACCAGAACCCAAACCGACCACAACGGCAGCAAAAACTTTGCTTTAAAAAAATACAGTGCCATGCATACACAGACTGAAATGAGAAAAATGTATTCTTGTGGCTTTGTTGTGAAGCTCAGGTCCCACGTTCAGTTTTAAAACACCAGGAGTGGAATTTGATAAGCCAGCCACCATGGTAAATGAGCAGACGACCCCTGTGTTCCTCCCTCATGGTTTCCAGGCTTGGAGCAGTAGCAAAGCAGTGTGGGTCCCCCGCCAACAACACCCCCCACAACACCCCCCCAGCCACAACAGGCACAACCACTAGACAGGAAACGAGTTCTGAACCACCACTCAGTGAACCTACAACATCAGCCACAACAACAACAACCACAACAGGCACAACCACTAGACATGAAACTAGTTCCGAACCATCACCCAGCAAGACTACAACAGCAGCCACAACAGCGCTAGCCACAACTGTCACAGAAGGACCCACCACAACATCCAGTAATTGCCATTCTTGTCAGTGGTCTGGTTGGTTGGACAAAAATTACCCTGCCAGTACCCCTGATGGTGGAGATTATGAAAGCATTAATAACATTCCGGATATAGATCTGAGTGATTGTACACAACCTCTTCAAATAAAATGTAGAGCAGAATATTATAAAGACTTACCTTTGGATAAAGTAGGACAAAATGTGACATGCAACCCTACAGATGGACTGATCTGTCATAACAAAGATCAACAACCAGTTCCTAAGTGTGAGAACTATCAAATACAAGTCTTATGTTGCAAAAACACTAATATTTGTTCGCCTCCAACTCCAACTATACTAGGGTCAACGGTCACAGGACCGACTGTTACCACACAACCACCCAGCAACACTACAACATCAGCCACAACAACATCCGCCACAACAGCGCCAGCCACAACAACAACAACGACCACAACAGGCACAAACACTAGACAGGAAACTAGTTCCACA